TGGACCTGAGGTCGTATTGTTTTATATAAGAATTGGACCTGAGGTCGTTTTGCATATGAACATGATGTGTTGGACCTAAGGTCGTTTTGCTTTGTTGAGATTTGTAAATCTGGTGTGCATGAGAATAGTGGTTCAAATATATACATTATGAGTATGATTCATTTATGAAGACCCTTTTGCATGCCTTTTGACTTAGGCCATTTAGATGCCATCTGGGTGTGCCTTTGACCTTGTTTTGATCTGCCTTGGGGTGGTTTTGAGTCCCCATGACCCTTTGGGACTTGCTTCATATAGCTATGGTTTAAGCCCCTTGGCTTACCTTGAGTTTTGGACATAGTTGCATGCCTTGCTTGCATTGATAGGTTGATTTGGCATCATTCCTCATGTATTTTCAAAGCTTGCTATGCTTGCCATTAGTCCATATTTATCCTCTTTCAAATGTGCTTAAAAGTTTCTTCTTTATGCCTAAGAGTTGGGCCATGTGTGCATGCATGTTTGTATGTGTTTTGGCCTTCATTTCCTTAGCATTTGGCCACTGTTTTGGACCTAGTAGAGAGCTGTCCATCTTGGTGTAAGTCCCTCTTTTCCATGTTGTTGCATGCTCGCCTTGTGTGTTGTTGCATACGTCGCCTATCGCATGTGTTGCATGTTTGAATCACATTGCATTTAGCATGTTTTCTTCCCGTTGTCTTGGTTGCTTAACATGTTACGTGTCTTACATGTTTGCATGTTCGCATTGTATATTGCATGCTTGTTGGCTTGCACATGTTGTTACATGCCTTGCATGTTTGTTTGTTTAGGTTATGTGCTTAGTACACATTACTTGCTTTCATGCTCATGATTGCATACTTAGCTCACGCATTGCATTGAGCTTGCATTGAGCATGCATGCCTTGTCTCTTGATCAAGTTTTTGCTCCAAACACTTGTGTTGGGTTATGTTGAGTTAGGGAAGGGAAAAAAATCATAAAGATTAAGTTGAGTTAACGGGAAAAAAATTGTAAATCTTTGCTTGGTTTTGATGCACAAAGATTGTTTTATATACTTAGATTTTATGCATTCAAAGCTTGTTGTATATCTTAGAAATGAGGATGAAAAGTTCAGACATAGATTTATGAAGTTTTAAGCCATTGATTGTGATTGTGTTTTGGAGCTGTATTGCCTTATTGTTTTCACCATGATACACAGCTATATTGCCATAGGGTTTTTCTCCATGATATTCAGCTCTGTTAGTTGTTGATCACTCAATATGGAGGTACAAGGAATATGAACTTATAAAATGCTGCAATCCTTACTGACAGATGTGCATAGTCATGTGGGAAATTTTTTATGTCATATTCTGCCACATTTGAGAACCTTTTCTTGAGATTGATGATGTATAGTGTGTTATGATGTGTCAAATCGGGAACTATGAATGCGTCCATGCATGGGGTAGCCAATTGCTAATGTATTAGATAACTTGACATTTGGTGTTTTTGTGAGAACCCGAATATAAAAATAAAGTAAATAATTAATTAATAATAATTTTACAATGTCAAATATTTTGATGGTGAATCCTAAAGTGCAAATTAAATATTTAAAGGGTCTTTTAATTAATTTTAAAACTTAAAATAAATTTATGGTGAAAGTATTTAATTTAGAGGCAAGATTTATCATTTAAAAAAAAATAGAGGGCAAGTTAGTAAGTATATTTTGTTATAATAATAGTTATATTTTATTTAAATTAATGAGCTAGAAAATAAAATAATATAAAGAGATAATAATTTAGAGCCTTTTTGTTTAGATACATAAAGTAACCCTAGGTTGGCTAATACAATATACAACAGTAGCAACAGCAGCCACGGGGAGAGAGAGGTTGAGAGAAAAGAAGAAAAAAAAAAAAAAAGATTGCAAACAAGGAAGAACTTTTGGTGTGTGGCAGGTTTCTAACTTTCTTCTTTCTTTTATTTTTGCTCTTTATCCTTGTTGTATTTCATGATTTAATTCATTGATGGAGGGGTTGTAAGTTTATGTATTTTGTATATATATATATACTGTAAAGAAATCTGAGGAGAAAAACTGGTGCGTAAAGAATGGGTGTAATTCTTAGTTCAAAAATTCTGTACAGAATTGCAAACTTTAAAAATCAAGAAACCATATCAAACGAATGAATTTTGAACTGAAATTTTTACAGTAGATCAATTACATATTGAATTGCATATCTGAAATTTTTCATAATTTTTGGGAGTCAAAATCCATATAAACTGATGCGTTCAAATCTGTCCAGAAAACTGGTTTAAACAGTAAGTTCGGGAGTGTTGTTCTCTTTGGGTATAAATCCGAAAATTATCAAATCAGCGTCATTAGAACCGGTTACGAGTCTAGGTTCTTACGTTTTTTGCCTTGCGTTGATTGCTCATGTATACTAAGAGAACCATTAATTTATTTAAAGTACTGCAGAAAACAACTTGTTTGGGCATAATTAATTGTAATTAATTATTTTGATAAGAAAATCAAGTAAAACCAATTGGGTTTGAAACTTAGGATATATTAGTTGATATCTTGAGGGTTTTGGAATTTTTTGAATGGTGTAGAGTGGGTTTTTAATTTTCAGAGTTAGTGAACAGTTCGGGAAAATTTATCAAAAATTCTATTTTATCTCCAAGTCACATTTAATTAAGTTTCGACCGGAACCCATGTCTTGGGTAATTTTAGACCTTGAAGAACATGAACTTAGGTAATATTTAAGAGTAACGGTGAGTTGGGTTGAGCCGTGTTAGTGCGCTTTAGTTGAGGTTACTTAGTTCCTATTCTTTAGTATTTTTAAATCAGTAGTAATGTGTAGTTTTTATATTCGAGGATTACATTATTTCGTTTCCAGGTGAGTAGTTTCATGTTATATATTTTTATAAATGTTCCCCCTACCCTGAACTGTTGGAAAATTAAATTGTTGTTTCAGGACTAAACTGTTTTGATAAATTATTATATTATCAATGGAATTAAATTATTTCTGAAACATGTGTGAACTTGGCATACTGTAAACTATTTTTTTTGGTCTCATGTTTACAATGGTGAACTGCCATGTTTTGCGAAACTGATGTGTATTGATTATTGGGACGATCTGTGTATTTTAGTCCAGAAAAATTATTTCACTGTGTGTGGTGACCCTGGCCACTAGGGAACAGATCCAGGTTGGGCCGTGATGACTCTAGTGCTCAACGATTGTAAGGAAAAGACCTAGGTTAAGCTAGGTGACCTTCAATCGGATCGTCTTTGAGAAAAGGCCTAGGTTGCCACCTTGAGGATGACTCTTAGTTCGGTATTGGATCTAACGAGACTTATAGCCTTGAGAATTGTGTGGCATATTACTTGTTATTTTCTTGGTACCCAGAAAATTATTGGTGTTCATGTTGTAATCTGTTTTAAGTGAAAAATGTCATTTATCATGTTCTCGAGAGACATGAGTATTTTAACTGTTGAACTGTGAAACCTTCTTTTTGAAACAGATTCTCTTTACCAAATTGTATGCCAATCTAGATTCTGTGATATATATCTTATTTTGGAATTGATCCCTGTTTTCAAAACTGTATATACTATCCATGTTGCTACTAACTGAGCTATCAGCTAACTTAGTTGTTTACCATTTCCAAGTGTTAGAAGGACTTAGAGTGAACTCATGTCATAGCGGGGACTCAATTCCATGGACCTCTAAGACATTCATTTATTTTGTTTTAGATAGTTATGTCAAGTTTGTGCATATTTATATTTATATTTGTTGAGGTTCATTTAAGACTATTTTGATATGTGGGTTGTTTTTATCCCATAAGTTTGGATGGTATTGATTACGGTTGATTTTGCTGTTTATACTTGTGGCATGACACTGGATTGAGTTTTGGTTATTTATTAATGGACTATTTTATAGTTATTCAATGTGTATGGTTTCATATTTAGGTTTACGTGTGCCTTGGGCTAAGGCCCTATGGGCCACAGCCGGTCATACCTGGGTTTGGGGTGTAACAGTTTTTTTTTGCTTGTATAGTGGAGAGTAAATCTCCAAATGAGACAAGCATAGACCAAACAGTTGCCCCAGCTGTATCATCCTCAACCACAAGCAATGCAGAAAGCACTCCCAACATAGACGAACTGAACATTTCTTCTCAGCTTCGAAAGTTCTCTTACAATGAGTTTAAGTCTGCTACGAGGAATTTTAGACCTGAGAATCTCCTTGGGGAGGGAGGATTTGGTTGTGTTTACAAAGGTTTGATCAATGAGAGTGGAACTACACCAGTGAGGCCTGGAACAGGGCTTACGGTTGCAGTAAAAACCCTCAATCATGATGGACTTCAGGATCATAAGGAGTGGCTTGTATGAATATTTCTCCTTTTCAGAAAGATTTCTGCAACACAGTATCTTTGTTTTACTTGTTATGATTGATGGTTCTTTTTTACTTTTCGTTTGGCAGGCTGAAGTAAATGTTCTTGGTGATCTTCTTCACCCTAATTTGGTTAAATTAATTGGGTGTTGCATTGAGGATGATCAAAAGCTGCTTGTATATGAGTTTATGCCTCGGGGAAGTTTGGAAAATCACCTGTTCAAAAGTATGCAACTGGACTAATTCTTTCTTTAAATATGTCCATATGCCTCACCCATCAACTGACTTCTGCTAATTATTTTAAAAACAAATGACACCTATAATTTCTGTGGCAGGGTCTTTGCCTCTTCCTTGGTCTATCAGAATGAAAACTGCAATTGGTGCTGCAAAAGGTCTTACCTTTCTTCATGAGGAAGCTGAAAGGCCAGTCATATATCGAGATTTTAAAACCTCTAACATCCTTTTAGATGTGGTATGTTGCTTCAATGGTTCATAGAACAACATAGTATTCTTATTGTTTAGTCTTATAGTTTTCTCAAACTTGTTTTTTCAGGACTGCAATGCGAAGCTTTCTGATTTTGGACTTGCAAAAGATGGCCCAGAAGGAGATAAGACCCATGTGTCTACTCAAGTAATGGGAACATGTGGCTATGCTGCCCCATAGTATGTCATGACAGGTCAGCATGGTTAAATTATATCTTCATTATTTATTTATTTATTTTGGATATATTTGAAATCTCATCTGTATCTGTGCTCTGTCCCCTTCTGGTTCCTACATCCTGGTTCATGAGATTTTTGGACTGGATTTATGATATTCTATTGTTTCCTTTATAAGAAGGCATTACTTGAATGTAGAATACTGCATGTGACTCTTTTCAGGCACATTTCTCTGAGTGCCATTAATTTGCTCTGTCAACTTAGTTTCCAAATAAGGGCTTGAAATTCCCTATTTGTTTCCCCTTTTTAAATGGTGAATAATATTTACTTTGAATCATATGATATGGTTGATGGTTTGAGGACGAACTGAAAATACTTGAATATATGTATAGAAACACAAAATTTGGTGTGAGAATGAATTATATATGGGTCTGCAAATGAACCCGCCTGAGCCAAGTAAAATACTAGGTTGTTCCGGATTGGCTTGACAAAGATGGAATGGCGTTTGAGCTTTGCTTGAACTTAGGTGAGCTAGGCCTGGTTTCCAATAAAGAAAATTCTTCTGTGAATATTCACATGATTATAATTTATCAATATATATATATATATTCACATGATTATAGCCAGAAAACTAGAAAAATGATCAGATCAATGCACTGGACAGCAAAGATCTTATTAAAAAAATAACGCCCAATTAGTACACATTAATATGTGTTTGGAAGGGAAAAAATTGAGTACACACCTAACTTTTGGCATAATATACAAAGCGATGGTTCCAAGACTTGAACCCATAGCTTCAAGGTTATTAGGTCAAGTTTTAACCATTGAACCAATGGTCACCCCTAGCAAAGATCTTATTCCTGTCATAATTTATACATATTTCATTTAGTATGGACGAACCTAGAAGAAGCGTGAATTATAAGTTACTATATAGTTTCTGTATTTGTTTTCATTCTGATGTTTAATTTACCTTAGGTGTCACACCCCAAATCCGGGCATGATCGGCCGTGGCCCACAGGGACTTAGCCCAAGGCACACGTAAGCCTAAACACGAATCCAATCACATTGAACAACTGAACTTGAAAACCCGGAAGGGCGGCCTTGGCAAAAGTTAGAGCGTAGAAGATGAGGGTTAATACACGAGTGAACCTCAATCAAAACTACATAAGGCTACATTCCCATGTTTGGGATACGTAGGCAACTTCATCTTGAAGTCCAGCCACAAACACTTCCAAATCAAGTGTGTCCATGTAATGGTTTTGATCATCCTTGCCTTCTCTGAATCCAATAGTTCGGTTGTCACACAATCGGAACTACGTAAGCCTTGATTCCCATGCTTGAGATACGTAGGCAACTTCATCCTGAAGTCCAACCCCACACACTTTCACAGTGACGGTGTCCATATATTGGTTTTGACCATCTTCGTCTTCTCTGTATCCGAGAGTTCGGTTGCGATCATCACTAATGAGAACTGACTACAGTATGCTGCGGCGTTATCCAGACAAGGGGCAACTTTCCGTTGCCATGAGTCGCCATCCAAACCAGGGGCAACTTTCCGTTACTGTGCTGTGCCCTTTGGAACAAGGGGCAATTTTCCGTTGCCTCTGATCCGAGGTTTTGCATCTCGAGAGTAAGTTCCGTGCTTGTTGAGCAGTGACCGTTTGCAAAAATAGTTTTTGAGAATTTTTTACTGAGGTTGACTATTTTCGCGAAAATTATTCCATCTTTTCCAAAACTTGACCATTTTCTTGGACCCAAAAAAGGAAAATTTTCAGTGCTCATAGCCTGACTTGCATGATTTTCAAATCAAAAATCGAACAAGTATGTTAATCTAACTCTCATTTTTTGTCAAAATTGTTTTAGTAGAAAACAAAAAAAAAAATGGTCAAAATGATGAACTAAGGGGCACAGTTGAGTCAGGCTTCCTGTCTTTCCCCCATCGCCAGCATACTTGCCAGAAAGAGCACAACTGGAGCTGTCTATAAAGAGCTGAAAGCTCTCTCACCCTCCGAGCAATGAGGTATCGAGCCAAGTGCGAAGCACGAACCGGAATGGATCAAGATACTCCACTCCCTTATCAGGAACATCGACTAAACGTCACCGGAAGAAATAGCTGCGAGCTAACAGTGTTGGGCATGAACCCACAACCTCTTGTTTATTCACCGACCATACTTGGGGAGGTATGAAAAATGAGAGAGTGAAGAATAGAGAGGTGTAAGTCGAGAGAAAAGTGAGCAAAAAGGGGTTTTGAGAGAAAAACCGAGCCTGAGGGCCGAGTGATGTGAGAATCACAAATGAGAAGAGGGTAAGAAACAATACCCGGAGAAACTGGCTCCTCGCAAACTAAGAGGTCTCTTGTCTTTTATAACACGTCTGTTTGTCATGTATTTTGTTTTGACTATCTCGATTCTTGTCTTGAGTCGTCTCGAGTGTTACTCTATTTGTTTAGGTTGAGTGCCTTTTTGTTTTCTCTGTTGAGTCCTTTTCGCTGTGTTCAGTCTTAGGCTCAATACCCGGTTGAAAACCCTTTCCTCAAATCGTTTTGTGCTCAGAGTGCTGTGCCATTCCCCACATTTGTGCAAAACATAATTTGGTTCATTCATAAAACTACAGGGTCCACCCCTAATAAGTGTGAATAGAAAAACCCGGACCTATCTGAAGCTTTGGGTTCCGGATTGCGAAGCAAAAAATTTTGGAGCATCTGAGTGTGTTTCAACTTCTACAGAGTTCAGAATGAACCGTGTATTCAGAATGAGCAATATGCTGCTATGGGCTATGAGTTCAGAATGAGCAGTTTTCAGAATGGGCTGTGTGTTCAGAATAAGCAGTGCGTTGTATGAACTGTGTGTATAGGCTGTATGCAGAGTAAACCAAGCACTGTGTTATGGGCTGTGTGTTCAGAATGAGCAGTAGGTTGTATGAGTTGTTTTGTCAATAGCTGGTTCACTACCTGGTTATTACAATACAAGTGTTTGATTTTTAGACAAAAGATCAATCTCATTTACATTGTTGTGTAATATGATGCGATGCGATGTATGAAATACACAAATGTAACACTTTTTCAGGCAAAAAGTTTGCTTCATTTCATCATCTTTTCAAGTACAAAGTTTCGAAGAAAATAAAACCTGCCTATGGCAGTACAAGGTACTCAAGCTACCAGCAAAAACAAAAAGTAAAACAAAAAGAAGAAAAGCAGCAAAAATCTGGATCAGCATCGATCATGTCAGGCCTGAGAGTCTGTCCTCGTCCTCTTCCTGGACGAAGGTCCAGGAGCATCATCGCCACCTCCATAGTCTGAGCCCGAGTGCAAGTCATTTCTGGTCTCCTCCTCAGATGCCTCCGTCTCCGTCTTTACCTCGGACTCGTCATCATCTAGGATCGGTGCTCGAAAGCTACTCCCAACATGAGTGCGCCCCACTTTGGTACGAGGGAATACTGTGCCACCTCGCCCTCCTCCTCGAGTAGGAACAGAAGGCCCAGCTGGAGCACCTCCTGCAGTAGGAATCTGGAATGAAGGCTGAAAAGCACAAATGGCAAACGGATCAGTATGCTACACAAAAGCAGAGTATGAATGCTGTGAGAAGTGTATCAGTACAGAATGCAGTGTATGAGTACAGTGTATGAATACAAAATGCAGTGACTGAGTGCAGTGTATGAATGCCGTGAGGGCCGTGTATCAAGTGCTGTGTTGATAAGTGCGATACATCAGATTGTGTAAAGTTTGAGTCGGTGGTCAAAAAGACTTACCGGGATACTGTAATGGGCTAGCAAGTCTAAGCTCCGCTAGAGCATCCCCATCATGGAGGCATTCAACTCCAGGGACTGGCGAGTGTACTCGGAGGAAGCTTGGAAAAGTGTTAGAAGTATCAGTATTCTGCGAAATATCAAGAGAAATGAAATGAAAGGACTGTACAAAATGCAGTAGTACATACCGGGGGCAAGTCGTTGAAACCGACCAACTCGTGATCAGCCAGAGGGGGAGCGAAGGGGGTCTGGTAAGTCTCACCATCCTATCCTCTGTATGTCACCATCGTGGGTAGTGCTGGCCACCCAACTCCCTGTCCTCTCCGGGACCCACTCCTACCACGGGCCCGAGCCATTCTCGGTGCCTCTGCTCCTGCCCGAGCCACCCTCGATGCTCCTGGTCCTGCTCCTGCTCTAGTCGCCGACACTGATGGCCTCTCCCTCTCAGCTCGACCGCAACTACTCAGAGGCCGCATGATATAGGCCTGGACGTAGTCCGTGTAGTTGCCCTCGCCCCTGAAGCCCTCTGCATCCCAACCGATCGTATAAGTGGCCATCTCCCGTGGGGTGTATCTCTCTATCTGCCTCATGGTCGTAGGAAGTGAACCTGGGGCTATCTTCTCTAGTAAACCTAAGGTCTGGCGTAGGAAGCGCTCGCCCAGGTACCAAGCCCGACAGACCGGGCCCTCCAACAAAATCCTAAATCGGGCAGTCTCCTCAACACCAGCATACCACTCCCGAACTGCGGCTGGCAATGGAGCCCATGGCTGCCCAGTGATCTGTAAACAATATTTAGTTTGTTATCTACTGTTATTGAAAGTACAATGCAAAGCGAAGCTTGAATAAACTCTAAAGTTGAACATACCTCTGTTGTGGTGATGGTGTCAAAGTAGCGGTGGAAGAATATAAACGACTCCCGGAGTCTCCGCATGCATCTCACGTCCAAGCGGCGGGAGAATGGAACGCCGAGGGGGGTCTCCTCATCCGGCACTGGGGCAAGCCTCGGGAAGTAGACATACACCCACAACTACAGAGTGCAATAGAGCAGGTATCAATATGCTTATCAGATAAAGCAGAATGCAGACGAAGTAGAATGCAGGAAAAAGTAGAAATTACAGAACCGTGTATTGTGTAGTGTATTACGCAGAGGGTACAATGTGTGCAGTATACAGTCAATGTAAAGCAGATTGCATGTTTGCAGTATGTGCGGTGTATAGTCAGTTGGCATCAGATTGTGCAGTATGTGAAGTATTGTGCAGTATA